TTGGACGGGAAATGAGGCTGAGAAGCACAGCCCCACGAGGGACAGGCTGTTCGACGTTGGAATCTCGATACGAGGACTTTCCATTTCCATCTGGGGACCTGAGCGTGGCCCTGCGCCTCGCTGTGTCAACCCAAGATACTCCCGCACGTGACTGAGCATGGTAGAGTTCGGCCTAAGCAGCGGATCAGTCGCGCTCATATCTAGGCAACTAGGCCAGGGCCGGGTTCCCGGTACCCGCCTATAGTTAAGTACTTTATCGCCTCGGCTGAGCCTATAGAACCTATAACTTATCCTACCGGTTCTAGCTAACGTTATAGTCATAATAATAAAAGTTCCTTTTCTCCAAATTACGTTAGTCTAGGTCTATCTAGATTAGTTAGAGAAAATTAGCAGAAAAAGATAGGCTTAATGTAACGAACGGCACTCAGCGGCGACAAAGTGCTTGGCCTTGGCATCCGTCTGGGACCCTGGCCTGCCGCTTTACTAGAAATCTGGTAAGCTTGGGTGTCTGGCTCAACTTCGGCTCAGCCTCAGCCCTGTCGCCTTCCTCATCCTTCTCATCACCGTTGCTCAGGCCTGTTTCTGGGCCCCGCGGTCATTGGGTGCTCATCGTGACATCATCCCATTTACATTAAGAGGTCAGAGTGTCTGCATATCTAGAGTGAATGAATTGCGTCGACTCTTGGACGTGCCTTGCCGCTCTCAGCCTACCACCCAAATGTATCAACCTCAAGCTCGAACGAGCAGCGGCCTGATTTCTCTCTGGCAAGTCGGGCGACAGTAGCCCTGACGTCGTCACACATACCAGGTGGTCCGCACACGACAACCCCCATCTTGGAATATCCGAGATCGGCCTGATCTTTTAACAAGCCGCTGATGTCCAATCTTTGCCCGACGACGATTTCCTTGTCGCGGATTTGGTCCAACAAACTGGCCAAAGCTTCAACCAGACAGACATCGTCCGCCTTGACGCTGTGGTAGAGTTTCACGTTCGGGTGACGGTGGACGAATGCCAACAGTCCAGTGATGCCTATCCCCCCGCCGATTAGTAACAGCCGATCACTCTGGAGGACTTCCTTGGTTGGATTGCAAGGATAAGGGCCTTCGAGTAGTGTGACCAATTCGTTCCGTGTCTTCAAGCATCGCGTCATTCCTGCTTTCTTTCGAATAAACAGTGTTAGTCCTGAATTCTTGTAGGCTTCATGCTGAGTGGAAGGTCTCGGAGTCACAGTGATTGGGCGGTTCTTCTCTGGGTCAGCGAGAGCGGTAGGCACTGGACCGTCGTTGTTGGGGCACCCGGTAAGAGCAGCAGTAGGGATGATGGAAAAGGGGTGATTCTCCCAAGGTCGAAAAGGATGAAGCGTCGGAAAATAGACGTAGGCGCACTGTCCCGGCGAAGACCACCGAGGTCCTGGAATATCGATGCGAGCGATAGTGTCGCCGACGTCAGTCACGACGGCCCGTTTCACTCCCGTCTTCAAGATTCTCGCCACCCGAGCCAGTCGGTCAAAGCCCCAGACAGCAAACGTTGCGTATAGGAAAGTCTCGTAGCCGAAGTCCCCCTCGTCATCGGCCCAGACGTGATACCAACATCCCACAAGGCAGACGACAGCCATGACTATATGTGTGAGTAGGAACAGCTCATACGCTCGTTGGCGTATGACAAGAAAGCTGGTGAGGATAATGATGACCGCTGCAACCGTACCCACACAGCCCCAATACCAGAGCGGTGTATCCACTGTGGAAGAATAATGGCCGTCGTCTTGGTATAATACCAATGAGAGAATTGAATGGAGAAGAGTTTGGATGAGGAAGAGCCGGGCGACCCATCGGTGGAGCAGCATGTAGGTTGAGTGGGACCAGTTGGTTAGCCATAATAAGATGTTGTTCCTGCTTGAGAACAGGAACAAGACTGGGAGTTGACAGAATGCTAGAGCACCGGTGCGCCACATCCAGTACGCCATGAGTTCTTGGTAGTGATTTTCGTACCACTGCATCTCTTCATTCGGCCACAACGTCTCATAGCCGATGGTGAGAAAGACAATGTTTAGTATGACGATCACGGCGATGTAACCGCTCTGCCCAAGAGTAGGCACATTACCAATCAAGAAGGGAAGAGGTCGATCGTGGTAGGTCCCGACGATACTTTGATAAAGCCATGGTTTGATGTGGTCCGTGAAACCAGTCATGAAGGGGAGGTATCCGAGCCAGCTCAGCACAAGTGGTAGACCGAAGGCCGTGAGCAGGATCGCAAGTCTGTCAGGAGGGATCTGCATTAGCAACGAAACAGAGAGTCGCGATATTGGATCTGACTTGCACCGCTGAGACACTACGAGAAGAGACGATAAGAGCAACCACGTACCCATAGTACGATTCCCGGGCGCTTTCACGGAAAAAGTATATCAAGGTATCCTGGGTGAGTTTCCAGGTGGTGTAAGTCGTGACCATGGTCATGTTTAGCACAAGATCCTTGCCCGACGCCACCACAGTGGGGGTTTTGGTGATGTTCGCCAACGTCTCGCCATAGCTCCATTTTGGGAGTATCTTCGCATCTCCTGTGATCTGCGTTTCCCAAAACTTCTCGATGGTCGACGCCCGGACATTTTCGGGGCAGAACGTGCGAATGCACCAGGCAATAGAACTCAGGTAGGGGAAATCCGACGCACGGCAAAGAGCTAGCTCATGCGCAATTGCATCCGCGGTGGTAAGCCCTCCAGCGCTGATCGTAGAGGAACATTGCAACTTGTAAGGTGCGAAGGATCGGAAGCAGCCATGACCACAATACGGATTGTAAAAAGTGAATCCCGCGATGCCAGCCAAGCCACTTCTCGTGACTGGTAATGGGCCAGTAGCTACTACACTCGTGGCCCAACTCAGCGCCAGCAAAAGAAGGTATTTCATGACTAATGGTGCCGACGACTGTCTGCAATGGTGGTAACACCATGAGCAGGGACTTGGGCCCACGGACGGTCTTTATACATGGTCGGTTGTGCCATAGATGGTCCACACTGCCAAGACGTGGATGTGTGTGCAATCAGTTGAAGAGAAGGAGCTGTTGGTAGAGAGACGGTGAGGTACTTGACCGACCGATCTTTTTCTCGACGTGGACTCTTTTGCCATGGCTTCAGTGTCTGGAATGCTGCTCTTGCATGTTGGACTGTGTGGGTCCGAACAAGCTCATCTTGGAAGTGCTTCGCCGAGGCCTCCAGGGCAGCTAGCTCTGGTGTTTCTAGCCTGGCATCTGATTGGAAAGGGAAACTTGCTCATCCTTCAATCGAACGTGACGCTGACTGACAATGTGGTCGCGCCGGTCTCAAGGAGCTGATGAAGTCGGAGCAGCTGATCGATCAATGCCCATCTCCCTAGCCTGGATTCATGAGCATTGGACTCTTGGGACGGGATCCAATCTGGGATTCCTGCGGATATGAGTGAAGGTGTTGGCTACCTTCTTAGGTCGGCAGAATCTGCACCAGGTGGTCGTACATAGGCTGATGGTGGCGCTCATTGTACTGAGTTGGTCACCCAATGTACTGTAGAATGTCTTAATGAGGCCAGGGAGGATAGTGTCTCGATTGAGAGCTCAAGGGAGCTTCTCGACCCTCTTCGGTTAACCGATGTTATTGCTAATGTGCTAAGCAAACATCGCCTGTATGCATTTAAGCACATGGTCCAATCTGGGCCAGGCTTGGATCCGTGGTTTGGCGCTCTGCAGGGTGTCTTGCGATAGCCCTGAGTCCAGAGCCGCAGATGCCCCAATGGCGCCAGCTCTTTTGTTTCCAGCAGTCGATTTCTGTGGGGTAACGTTGCCAAACTCCAGATAATGTTACTGGACATGTTTTCAGTCTTCCAGCATCGTTCTTACCTCTCCCAAAAAAGGGGTCTATGACTCGCGTGTCGCTTCCCATACATCTGCACAGTACGTAGTACGAGGCCGACCTAGACTATATATATAAGAGACCTAATCAACTGGCGCTATAGTGTGTCAAGCAGGATACTTGTGGACTTCAGAATAAAGTGATATTGACTGGGTGCGTGTTGGAGGAACCGAGAGAAATAACTACATAGATGACGCGAAAACGCAACAGCCCACGAATGCGCGACGGGAGGCGATCTACTACTCCCGAGAGACATATCCCGACGGTCGTGGAGGTTTTACAAATGCTACCGCCTGTGTCCGTGCTGGCGATAGAGAATGATGTTGCTGGTGGACTCTGGAGGGGCCGTCATTTTGCCGGACCTGAACATTGATATAGAGCCTGTTCGTATGTCTATGCTGATGTTGGTTTCAGTGATGAAAAGAGAAATCAGACCAGATTTCGATCTGAGGCTGGTTTAGCGTATCGCTCCAGAGTGTCTGAATTGGGAAAAGGGAGAATGAAGAGCGCAACCCAAATGTATTTGTGAAAATGTGCGAGCATGCGTAGTTGTCGTTGCTTCCTCAACGAAGACTCGGAATGGCCCTCGTCACTCGACCGATCCAGATTGTTGAATGATCGAGTCGCGACCCCCTCCCGAGCAAGTTATTTGATAGCTGGGCGTCGAACGCGTGCTTTGCTGTCATTGACAGTTGTGGCTTGCCGCGACACCACGGCTTGGTGGTGTCACTGGCCATGTATCTGTTGGCAATTGCTTTGGCAAGGCATCCGAGACTCGCCGCGGCACGCACCAGCTCTGATTGCGCGAGCACATTTCGACCAGCAGCAATTTCTGGTCACAAGCGCCGCCGTGAAGCCTGGGCTAGAGCTCCCTTCTGATACTGGCCTGGGTGAAACTTGCTTAGCACAGATAATTCCATGGCAGCCTCTGGGCAGGGCGACAGACCTCCCCTTCCACCTCAACCAAGATGGTCATCCGGGGGCAGAAATGTGCTCTCTGAAATATCTTGCTCTTAGCTATCAGAACTTCTAATATGGCGCGATTTCTCACCACGACCCATGTCCACGAGCTCTCATCGCATTCTATTACTGTCCTGTCAGCTATCGTAGCTTGCAACGAACAAGATGGACATGCCGTGGGGACCCGACGGTCAGCTAGATCGACATTGCCCTTGAGAAATGTTTTGTTAACTTTTCACACAGACAGCTTTGCCAGAAGATCTCCAGCTCGTTCTCGCCCAGATTCGAGGCCACCTCTTACACGCAAGCATTCGTCGTCTGGAGAGCACGCTCTCTGGATCGGCAACATTCCTTTGCAGGCAACTATCCTTACTCTGAGGGATCATTTCTATCAAGTCGCCGGCAGCGACCTTGTCAGCATCATCTATAATCCAGAGGCGAGATATGCCTTCGCCAACTTCAATACCAAAGCTTCACGCCTGAAAGTCATTGAGCTTGCTGCATCCACCCTGTTCCACGAGAAATGTCTCGATTGCCGCATCCGCTCGGACCAAGGAAGACGCTCCATCAAGGTCAGCTACGGGCATGACGAGCAGGGCGGCCGCAAGCTATCCATCCACCAGCCCGTGGAACTTGAGAAAAAGATCGAAGAGTTGGCCCGATTCCCCGAGGCCGACCCGTCTCAGTCGGGAAAGGACAAGTATTTCATCATCAAAAGCCGTTCCATCGAGGCAATGCATCAGAGTCTCCAGATGAATCAATGGCACATTCCGTCTCGCCATGTCTATCGCATCAACAACGCCGTGCAGGTAGGAAACCATCGGTCTCTATTTCGTGGTTTCAGTCAGAGGCATACCAAGCTCCTTGCCGCGTTCACAGACCGCACGGAAAGTGTACTTGATCTTCTCCGTAAATGGTTCCGGTCAATTTTTTGGCTACGCGCTCCTGACCTCCGCTATTGTCTATGATGAGATGGACAACCCGACAAACGATCGAGAATTACATTTCCCTCTATCTGCAGAGGACGAAAGTCAGGCCCAAAATGCCATTGGTAACATTGCACCAGCGTCCACCGGTCAGACCCTTAGCACAACCGTTAAATCGAGAAGTCCCAGTGATGCTTCATCGAAATCTTTGCCGGCCCCTCTCCTTAACCCAGGCATAATCCGATACAAGCCAAGCAGACGGCAGATCGTCTGGGAGGCTTCATCGTGCGACCACCGGGACAGCACCGCATCGGATAGCGAGTCTAGCTCGGCCTCCAGATCCCTTTCAAGTCTGCAGGATAGACGCAGCGCGAGTCCACCAGACATGTCGCCGAATGTAAAACAAAATCCGCCGTTCTGTGGCGAAAACTCCCCACCCACCTCGACGCGATCTCCTCCGTCCACTGGTATTAGAGGTGAAGTCTTGTCAAATTCTGATGATGATACTACCGTCATGAGAGCAGTCCAACAGTCCGGCCACCCATGTCGAATCAAGTGGCTCGCCGCCGATTCCCTGTCTTTCGACAAGGTTTGCGGCATCAGGAACAAGTGGAATGACAATAAGCCGATTTATGTGGCCAGAAACGTCACCCCAGTCCATCCAGATGCCGCAACGGCACTGCTGGACATTTGGAGGTCCTCGGCGATTCTGAAGAGGATGGAAAGACCCAGAGAGGCCAGCGCGAGAGCCTGGGGAAATATCAGGCGTTGAAGAAAAACGTCTGGTTTGTTTTGGGCCATCGGACATGTCACAAAGTAGCTATTTGGCATTGGAGTTGAGTCTTTTGCCCAGCGGCGGTCCCGGGAGGCTATGTTTGCTTGAATTTGTGAGGTCTACTAAACAAGGAAACGGGATTGTGGCATCAAGTAGCACGGATAGTAGTTTGTGCTTGAGTATCTGTATGAATACATGGACGTCGCTGACTACGTTGGGGGAGGAATGCAAACATCGGTCGAGATAGTTGTATGAGTGTCTGGCAGGCAGCACGACTGGCTGAATCTCGAAGAACTCCCGCAGTGCGCCGACCAGTAGTTGGTGCCTTTGGTATTCCTCCATATGCTCTTTGCCGTGAATAACCCGCCTCCCTCGATAGTTTTGAAAGGTCGAAGGTCTACTGGAGGACTTCATTCATTCTCGTTCTCCTCGGGTCATCGACGAACGTATTGTTAGGTCAGGGGGTTTGCAGCAACCGCGTTTCTTGCACCTGTACCCCCGTCCAACTCCCGAAATGGGTACATTTCTATCTCATCTTCCGCCTTAATTCCCAGGCAATGAGCAAGATTGCAATCGGTACAGCGTGGCCTGCGCCGCTCTTCGCCTCAGCTTAACTTCAAACAGTCTGCCATTGGTCGAGAGAATTCACCCCGGACAGAAATGCACCACAATCGGCCCTAAAAACATTTGAGCAAGTTTCTTTCAAAGTTCCCCACGGCCAGTCAGACGGGAGACATATCAGCGTTTGAGCAAGTATGCCGAGAGATCGGTTCAACAATTCCCTCCTGGGTTAAGCAAGCTTTCAGCCATGCGGTATTGGCACGTTTTAAGGGGGATGGCATCGACCCGGTCACAGCGAATAGCAGGGTACCGCACCTCATTTGATCAGGTGAGTAAGTCATAAGCACTTGCCTACAAGAGAAGGATGTTCACGACTGCGAACTGTACCTACTCGGATGAATTGTGAGCAAGTTTGCTGAACCGCACAGAACACAGGGGTTTTTGTCCCGTCCGTTCCTTTCAGGACATGCATGGTGGGAAGACCGACGATGCATGGGACTGATGGGAGAACATCTTGGGATTGGTCACACTGATACGAAAACGCGTCCTCAACGTATCCATCCGCCTGGTAACTTTTGTGGGGTGTGTGTGTGTGTGTGTGTGTGTGTGTGTGTGTGTGTGTGTGTGTGTGTGT